TACAAACATATTGGCAGCACGTCTCCCTGGTGAGACAAAACTACATACTCTTTTCAAGTATAAATAATAAACTGTTATTATATATATATATATACATTTGTAAATAGTCAAAAACACCTCTAACCCTATCCCAACCCTCTGTGCGTAAAAGACACATCCTATTAATACTTACCTCATCCCACCAATGGATTACTTACCTTACTTCTCTCCCCCTTTCTTTTTTTTTTCTTCTTTTTCCGTTAATTCTTATCAAGTCTATTAACTTCGTTATCATTATATATCTATGCATGATCAGTTCTGTATATAACTTGCTTTAATAGTAACAACTAATACTTTGTAAATAATTAATTGCTTTTTCTGAATAAATTTTAACGATCTGTTCTTATCAGCTTAATATCTGATATGTCGGGCAATGCCCGACTCTTATATTAAACTGATTTTTGGATATCGGCCATGGGATTGGAGCTTGCTTCGCCCTGGCCACGGGTTGTCTCGGTATTGCACTACCTCCGAGTTCGGCCCATTTCCCTTCGCGGAAGGGAAACACATTTACTTTAAACAAACGAAAAAAAACAAACAAAACAGCCAGCAAATCAAATAGCTAAGCGAATTTATTTTGTCTGTAACTAACTAACCGAGAAACGAACTGTTTAACATTTAACTAAATAACATACGTCTCTTTCGACAGAGTCGGCGAAAGACGAAAAGACGTCGTCGCCGTCGGAAAGGAAGACAATAAAGGCCGTCAGACGGTAAGTTGCAAGTGCAAAAGTAGTGAAAAAGGGAGGGGTGCAACCGTGTCGCACAGAGCGTACGTTCGCGTACAAAGTATGCTCGCCGTGCGTCGTTCGAGCATACTTACCTGACGCGAGAGGCACCTTGATCAGCTAGGAGGTCCTCTCAGGATGAGGCCCTTTCATTGCACTTCGACTGGGTTGACTCCTGCGATTACCCTAACGTGGGTAACTCGAGCGTATAATTTCTGGTAGTGGGGACCTGCGTTCGCGCTCGTCCCCTTCGTTTCTCACGATGGGAGGAAGAAGCGGAGAAAAGAACAAATAAAATAGAACACAATAGAGAAGAGGGCCTTCGTCCGTCAATTGTGTATGCCACGCTTTGGGACATATATAAATTCGTTGTTCGTTCAGTTAGGTTGCATGCTGCCAAATTTTTACTGACCTATCCCAAAATGCATAGCGAGATGCAGGAGAAATTTATATCAGCTATTAGCAAGAATAAATTACTTGTATTTGACATAAATTACTTGTACTTAACAACGACGTAAACGGCCGGCGTGTGTATATTTTGACGGACGGCATATACATTATGAAAGTATACAAATTATAATATGTATCGTCGACGTTAACAGTAATGATATTGCATTGCGAACGTTTTTCTTACTTAGTCGTACGTTTGTTTAGCTTTTATAGTAATTATTTCTATGTATCACTGACATTTAACGGCTCGTAGTGTAAAATTCGTTCATTGAGCTGCTTGTCTGCCGATTTCATGAAGCATGACCTTGTTGACATTGCAGCACTTGCATACAATGCGAATCATTATCGCCCACAAGCACAAAGCGTTTGTTTTACAATGAGAAAGCACGTCTGCAGCAAGTTCGCGACAGACATCGCGTGCTTCCTACGTCATATGAAACGATCGCATTTCGCGGCATTACGCGCGAATTTTCAAACATGTTCTTCTTTACGAACAGGTGTGCATTGGATTAGAAAGAACGCTTGACATGACGATTGTAGTAAACATCCCTGAGGAAATGAGAACTTTACAACCCTGAGGAAATGACAAACATTTCGGATAAACTGATACAAGACCTCATCAAAATAAGAGACTCTCTACTCGCACCATGGCAAAAACTAGACTGCATCAGAACATTCATCCAACCATGCCTAACCTATGTTCTAAGAACATGCCCAGTACCACGAAACTCACTTGAAAAATATAGATCAACCCTCGTCAAAGTTCTCCGATCCATCTGCCATCTACCATCTCGTGCTGCCACCTCTTATCTTTTGCTCACCGTACTGCTGGGGGACTTGGCTTTCTCGACCCTTTCCTCGAACGTCATGTTCAAACAATTGTACACACCATGAAAATACTATCATCACCTGACAAGACAATCCATAACATCGCTCACAAACAACTCCAATCAGTAGTCTACAGATGCTTTCACCGCCAACCATCCAACGAAGAATTAGATGCCTTCCTATCAGGATCATCAGAAGGACCCCTTAACGAATTCTCTAAAACCAATAACAGCTCCACTCTCTGGTCCAGATGTCGACAAGCATGCAGAGCCCTAAAACTTCACATCTCTGACTCAAATCATGAAATCTCTATATCTGAAGACAACATCACTCACACCAAAGCTAAAAATGCCTCTTCCTTCTTACACAAACACATAACCAACCACCATGCCACTAAACTCAAAGAACTACCAGATCAAGGAAAAGTCGCGAGATGCATAAACGAATCTAACATCTCATCTGTAAACTCCTGGATGTTTGACGGAACGGGTCTCCGTTTCTGTGACTGGAGATTCATACACCGCGCACGAACAAACACACTCCCAACTAATGCTGCAAAGCACCGTTGGAATCACGCAAACAACGCTACTTGCCGTAGATGCCATACAGACAGCTCAAAAGAAACCCTTCCACACATCATAAATCACTGTCATCCCAATATGTCACACATAACCACAAGACACAACCTAATACTCAACCGCCTCAAAGACAACATAAAACATGGTACCACATCAATAGACAAAACAATCCCAGACGATCCTAATAAATCTCGACCTGATATAGTAATCTACGATGGTAATAGAGTACACATAATAGATATCACGTGCCCCTTTGAAAACGATTCAAATGCATTAAAAGAAGCAGCGGACAAAAACAAGAAAATACAATTACCTGATAGAATTCTTTGCAAAACAACACCTGCAAGCTTCTATATCGGCTTTCGTCGTCGGATCCCTCGGTGCATGGTATGACCAAAACGAAAAGTCCTGCAAGAAATAAGAATGCCCATGAGATTCAGGACCTCTTTCGCAAATTATGTGCTGCAGATTGTATAAAAACATCAAGAAACATCTATGTAGAACACCTTACTGGTATCGAGCAACATTAGTGCTAGTGCATTAATGAACAACCTATATCTTTCGTAGAATCAATATATATATATATATTTTTCATAGTTTCTGTTAAAAGAACGTTTTAATAGTAGTATAGAGTAAATAATATAGTTAATCAACAGTAGTATAGTAACATAACATGTAAAAGATGCATAAAAGCCATCATTTAACACAATTCTCCACATCCCACATCACAATATAAAACACAACCATCAAACATCACAACCATATCACAATTGTAAAAATGTAAATAATTATCTAACCAAAACCATGTATATTCTTTATTGCTAATAAAAAATCTCTGTTCTTATCAGCTTAATAGGCGGTGCTATACTTGATTAATTTTCGTTAATTGGTTCGCTTAAAAGGTAATTGCTCACTAATTGGATTACACTCTCAAGGTTAGTGGATTTGATTTGATTTTGATTTGGATTGTATTTGGATTGTATTTACTTCTACGTCACGGAACTGGATCGGACTTGGACTTGGCTTTGGACTCTCCTTTGGAACTGTTGAATTTGGATTTCTTCGGATTCTTATACGAAGCGATACAGAAGTTTGACTTTCTGACCGGCATTCCTATATAACATTCGATCGGGACCATATACTGTGATTTATAACATCTATCTCATCGCAATCGGTTTAGCATTCTCCACGATCACTCCGTGCGTGTTTTTTCGTACCGCATCCAGTGCTAAAAGCCGTGATTTGGCCGGTCAACTTTCGGCGCACGATACCGGACATCTTGCCGAAACTTCGCTACGTGTTTAGCGGAACAGTTTGCAGGTTATTGTGCCGTGATTACGTGTTTCATCGTTTATGAACGTCCCATACGGAATTTTAAACACTTTGGAAGAATATTTGGCGAGAAATCGACACAAATTTTAAAACGACCGTTGGATATTATTCGGTCGCCACGCAACGAATTCAAATTCGACAACGTGATATCATTGTGTGCATCTTGTTCTTATTTACGGCCTGTTCTAAGCTCTATTTCATCAAAACAGAGCAAATAACACCTCAAATCATTCGATTGTTACCGTCTCACACGGTATTTTAAACATTTCCAGCCATAACCCACTCGACAGCAACGCAGGGTTTTGAAGCGACCGTTGGTTATTATTCGGTTGCTACGGACAATTTAAATTCGGCATCGCGTTCGTCATTGCCTATCGCCCGTGATTATATACGGCTTGGTCTACGCTCTGCTTCGTCAGAGCGGAGTAAATACCATCACAAACAACTGGACACTGCCTCTATCCCATAGAAACACTGCATAGTGTGATTCCATAGTATATTCGTAAACCTAATTACGCATTCAAAAGCGTAAATTGTTTGAAATCACCAGCTGTCAATCAACTCCACGCAGGGGAATCCCCGAGACATCTAAACCTATTCGTACGATTGTTTGACTATTTGCCTTTGTTTACGTGCGTTCCTCGCCGACCCCTAGACATTTTGCGATCGCCGGTTATTTCCCACAACGGTAATTTTATGTTAACTACTCTGACACTCGCTCAGTAGTTATGAGGGAATAACTAACCGCGTATACGGACAAATAATGCGGTGTGTATATTGTAACGCCGATTTTCGGACGCGGTCCGAACTAAAAGCTCACTGGATGAACACGCACCATAATGCACAAACAAACACCCCGGCAAATCAGTGCACGCTCGTTTTCCACACCGACTGCACCTCTCAAGATCTCCGATGCCCACACCGTGGCTGTAAGTTTATCAGCAAACGTGTCAACACTACCAGACACCTAGCGAAGCATTTCACCAAGCACCATAAGCGAAGTGAGCTGGTCATACAATATCACTGTGGGCAATGCAGGGTATTCATGGACCCTGCTGAATGCGATGCACACAGGAAAGCTCATGCTACTGCCTCACAGCCAGGTCAAGTGTTCAGCCCACCGATCCCTCTTATTGACCCCGCAACAGATGAGCTTTCCCTTGTAGCAAGCCCAGACCAGTCGCTGATATGTGGCAGCCACGGACGTGGTCTGTCGGCCCCGCCATCGCTATCGCCTATGAAGCTGGACATCAAACTCCTCTCCACGCACGAATCACTCCGCCTTACATCACCAAAGAAAGCCTCTAAGCCCTTGGCGCCACACCAACTTCATCGTCACTCTCCACTGAACCCATTGGCTACCCCGTTCGATCCCTCGTCATCGCCTACACAACCACCCGTGTCGAGTCCTCCACTATCGTTCTCGTCACCTGATTGGATAACGTTAGACCCTCCTACATCGCAGGACGATAGACTCTCCATACATGGAGGATCTCCGCTAGGCAATCGTAGCAACACGCCTGACACCATCCACCAGCCATCACCCACCATCCCATCTCAATTTACCATACCCACACAACCTCCAACCTTCTACTCCAACACTGGCAACACAACTCAGGCCCATCATCCATCCATATCAACCACATCATCAGAGAAATCGCTCCCGCTACCACCCATCACAGACGACCAATCCCCGCAGCTCACTCCCCCAACGACAACCACATCTCAGCAGCTTTTCAACGACAGGTGCACGATTTTGGAGACCATTCGACCCAAACTCGCTAACCTCCGTCGTATGCTACAAGATGGAGATGAGACCCCCACCACAACGCAGACCTCACCACCACAGCCGCTCACAACGCCTAGCTCGCCGTCAAACTCGCCCTCGCATGCTTCCAACAGTACATCCCCGTCGGACAACCCTTCACCAGCGGTGACAGCGATGGGAAGATATATAGAAATAAACCACTCGATCTTCACCGACACAGACTCGCACACGATAATAGAAGTTGCACCTCCGCTCCCAGTGTCACAACAAACACACCCCCACTATCCCAGTGTCACAACAGACCCACCCCAACGTCACAACAGACCCACCCCAACGAAGACCTCCGCTAGGCAGAGGAATTCCACGGGCTAATCGATTCGACCCAACCGCAGCTCGGCGAATCCAAGGTCTTTACAAACACTCCAAAAAACGAGCAGCAAGAAAACTATTGATTAATAACTCGGTTACATACTCTGGCTCTGTGTCAGACGCCGAGGAGTATTTCACAGAAAGTTTTGGGGAAAAATCCTGCATCCAACAGTACTTCCAAGAAATGCTTGCAAAATTGGTCCCATCAGCAAGCGACGAAAGGGAATGTGAGGAACTGTATTCGCCCATCACGCAATTCGACGTCGCCACGAAGCTTCGTTCAGTCGCCAATACCGCACCCGGCGCTGACAAGGTTGAATACGGCCATCTGAAAAAGATTGACCCATGTGGGAAAATATTATCAGCCATATTCAACCGTTGTCGAAGCAAAAATGACGTTCCTCCACTCTGGAAAACGTCGCTGACGGTCTTGATATATAAAAAAGGAGACGAAAACGATATAAGCAACTTCCGCCCGATCGCCTTGATGTCGTGTATGTATAAACTGCTCACCGGGATCCTGGCAAAACGGTTAACCAAATGGGCGATCTCGAACGACATCCTATCACAGGAGCAGAAGTCTGCACGACCGAGTGAGGGGTGCTATGAGCACACATATATATTGAAGTCGTTGGTTGGACAGGCGAGAATGAACAAGAAGAAACTCAACCTTGCCTGGCTAGACCTTCGTAATGCATTTGGTAGCATCCCCCACTTCGTCATCGAACGCACTCTCCGCCACATGGGAGTACCACAAGACATGGTCACCCTCTGTGGTAACATTTATACTGATGCCACCACGAAGATAAGTACCCCCCAAGGTGTAACCAACGACATCCCAATACGATCAGGGGTGAAACAAGGATGCCCGATGAGCCCGATCTTATTTAACCTCTGTATCGAGCTGATTCTGCGCTGGACCAAAGAGGAAGCAGCGAAATTAAAGTCGGGAACATGCAACCACTTCGGTACGGAGCTATCTTGCCTTGCATATGCCGATGACCTAGTTCTGATGGCACGCAGCAAAGATACGCTCCAACGTTTGTTGTATGCTGCTGCTGAAGCAGCCAACACCCTCGGCTTGACATTCCGACCTGACAAGTGCGCTACTCTCTCGTTAACATCAACCAAACAGCGTGCTACGTTTGTTGAACCAACGGACTACACCATACAGGGCGAACACATCCCAGCTCTCTCGCAAGAAGAGTCCTACAGATACCTGGGAGTTCCAATAGGCCTGATTCACAACATAGATGATATCCCGAGCATAGTACCGAAACTTATCCAACATATCAACATCATACGTTCGTCACTTCTTGCCCCCTGGCAGAAGTTAGATGCGATCCGTACTTTTATTCAGCCATGCCTTACCTACGCCCTACGTGCTGGTAACCCGCTAAAACAGTCCCTCGATGAATATAAACGGATACTCGTCTCGGCGCTCAAAGATATCTGCTTCCTACCACAGAGAGCAACGCAGTCATATTTCTTTGCTCATAAGAAGGTGGGTGGTCTGTCGATGTTTGACCCTAGAACAGAATGTGACATACAAGCAATTGTCCAAGGTCTCCGTATGCTCTCGTCCTCGGATCCGAACGTTACAGCCATGGCTAAACACGAGCTAAAGTATATAGTCCGACGATCAACCCAGCTTAATCCAACTGCGGACCTTATCTCCGCCTACTTATCTAGTACTAAAGATCCTCGCACTGATAGACTATATTACTCATACTCTTCCCTGTGGTCAAGAGTCCGTCAAGCATGCCGTCGACTCTCTGTTACGTTTTCATTTTCTGACTCCGAACCACCCACGATCAATGCAGATGAATCTCCTGCCATCAAATCGGACAAAGTTACCTATTTCTTGCACCAACTGGTTCTCGACAGACACTCAAAAGACCTGACCGAAATCGTTGACCAAGGGAAAGTTGCGAGATGTCTAGCAGACGATCAATACGCCAACGGATCATCCTGGCAATGTACGGGTCTAAATATCCGATTTAAGGACTGGCGCTTTATTCACCGGGCACGTTTGAATCTCCTCCCACTGAATGCAGTCAAGTCCAGATTCTCGGCAACGGACCCAACATGTCGCAACTGTACGCAGCCTGAAACTCTCCCGCACGTCTTGTGTCATTGCCGTCCCCATATGGTACAAATCAGGGAACGACACAATGCTATCGTAGACCGTGTAACCCAAGCAATCAGGTTTGGCACAGTAACAACAGATCGTACCATTAAGTCATCGAACCTTAACTTGCGACCAGATATCGTTGTTGAAGAGGAGAATCGTGTGCTAATAATTGATGTTACGTGCCCCTTCGACAACGACGAGGATGCTTTGGCCAACGCTGCACAAAATAAAGTCATGAAATACCAACCACTTAAAGCGTACGTGGAATCTACGGGGAAAACTTGCTCTATCTTACCTTTCGTAGTAGGTGCGCTGGGATCTTGGTACAAGAAAAACGAACTCGTCCTGAAAGCCCTGGGAATGACACGTCGCTACAAGTCACTCTTCCGAAAACTTTGTTGTTCTGACTCCATCAAAGGATCCTGCGATGTCTATCGCATTCATCTCGGCTGTGACGATGACGTCCGTCTTGCTGATTGATCTACACAGGAAGATAAAACTAACATTAGTATACCTAAATCAGTAGAAACAATTATTTAATATTATGTTGGAACACTTATTGATAGTTAAAAGACAATCTTTAGATAATATTAATTTTGTACGGTGTATGTAAATGATGTTCAAAGCTTTGTGTGTCTCATTTATTTCCCCTCCTATAACTGAAGCCGAGCATTGACTTAAAGGAGCTATAGACATAATGACTGGTTGATAATAGTAATTGACTTATCGTGTAAATATTTAATACTACTTCTGTAAATAATTCCTGGGCAACCTACTGGTCCCATCATTTTTTGGATATTAAATTTGATAAGAACTCTGTTCTTATCAGCTTAATATCTGATATGTCGGGCAATGCCCGACTCTTATATTAAACTGATTTTTGGATATCGGCCATGGGATTGGAGCTTGCTTCGCCCTGGCCACGGGTTGTCTCGGTATTGCACTACCTCCGAGTTCGGCCCATTTCCTTAGCGGAAGGAAACACATTTACTTTAAACAAACGAAAAAACAAACAAAACAGCCAGCAAATCAAATAGCTAAGCGAATTTATTTTGTCTGTAACTAACTAACCGAGAACGAACTGTTTAACATTTAACTAAATAACATACGTCTCTTTTCGACAGAGTCGGCGAAAGACGAAAGACGTCGTCGCCGTCGGAAAGGAAGACAATAAAGGCCGTCAGACGGTAAGTTGCAAAAAGTAGTGAAAAAGTAAAGGGAGGGGGTGCAACCGTGTCGCACAGAGCGTACGTTCGCGTACAAAGTATGCTCGCCGTGCGTCGTTCGAGCATACTTACCTGACGCGAGAGGCACCTTGATCAGCTAGGAGGTCCTCTCAGGATGAGGCCCTTTCATTGCACTTCGACTGGGTTGACTCCTGCGATTACCCCTAACGTGGGTAACTCGAGCGTATAATTTCTGGTAGTGGGGACCTGCGTTCGCGCTCGTCCCCTTCGTTTCTCACGATGGGAGGAAGAAGCGGAAAAAGAACAAATAAAATAGAACACAGAGAAGAGGGCCTTTCGTCCGTCAATTGTGTATGCCACGCTTTGGGACATATATAAATTCGTTGTTCGTTCGGGTTAGGTTGCATGCTGCCAAATTTTTTACTGACCTATCCCAAAATGCATAGCGAGATGCAGGAGAAATTTATATCAGCTATTAGCAAGAATAAATTACTTGTATTTGACATAAATTACTTGTACTTAACAACGACGTAAACGGCCGGCGTGTGTGTATATTTTGACGGACGGCATATACATTATGAAAGTATACAAATTATAATATGTATCGTCGGTTAACAGTAATGATATTGCATTGCGAACGTTTTTCTTACTTAGTCGTACGTTTGTTTAGCTTTTTATAGTAATTATTTCTATGTATCACTGACATTTAACGGCTCCTAGTGTAAAATTCGTTCATTGAGCTGCTTGTCTGCCGATTTCATGAAGCATGACCTTGTTGACATTGCAGCACTTGCATACAATGCGAATCATTATCGCCCACAAGCACAAAGCGGATAGTTGGTGCTGCTACTATTTCACGGCGATTGTCACGAGGGACAAACATTTTAACCGCCTCTTTACTCATTTCGGGATATATAGTCTCTACACAAACGCGATTATATATTCCCGACCGACTGTTTGTTTACATTTGCATCGACCATCTTCGCCGCTATTTTCTCGCCGTGCAGTGATCTTATTCGCCCAACTATAACATATAATTGTTCCTGCACGTACACTCCGCAATACCTATCGACCATTTGTCATTACATCGGTGACAACCGACGATATTTTGCGATTGTTATCCTAGACTTTCCCGAGCATATTCTTGTTCGGCGAGTCAAGCGTATCGCGTGCCCATCGAAAGTTACTCGCTCGCTAGTGTTTGGAAAGCACTTTTTACACGGCCCGACATTTTGTAGCTCCTCTCCGTGGCCCACGCGAGTTATTACAGTATTCCTGGGTTCATTTTTCAATCGATTGCGGCCGTTTCAGCACTGCCAGGAGTCCTACATCGCTGTACATGCCGTACACGGGCCGATATTTGACACCGTACTTAATTAAGCCAAATTTAACTTTTTCGACGCGTGCCGTTCATTTCGCGCGTTTTCCGCCACATACCGCTAACAACGCGTAACCTGGCCTCTATTTCTCGAACTTTGTTGTATTTCTGTTGTTCCTATTGCTTACGTGGCTATAAGATCGTGTCACGTCTGTTTGGCGGTATACGTTATCTCAACTTGACTTTTTTGCAATGAGGTGCGTCTACTGCAAGCAATATTTCCGCACCCGTCACGCTTTAAGCAGTCATTGGAACTGCACGCATCATGGTCGGCTTAAAGGTGACGGATCTCCTCCTGAGAAGT